CCCACACCAGACCCCAAACCCTAGCCGCCTGCCTCGCCGGAGAAGACGAACCAGAAGCCGGCCGCCGCCACCCGCCTGCCGCGCCGGAGGGATTTTCGACCCGCCGATCGAGGTAAATTTCATACTCCCGACTCGTTTTTCCACGCTGATTTCCCCAGTGGCCAAATCGGAGCCAAAATCCGGGCCAAACGGCCGGAAAATACGGCCGAAAGCCAGCGACGCCGCCGCACCCCTTCTCGGTTTTTGCCTCCGATGAGGCCCTTCCCGGCCTCCATTTAATGCAATTTTTATATCACCGTGATCACCATTCTTTTCTCTACAGGTTGATCAAAACCGAATCACCAAAACACGAACTTCACCGGAGAGCCGCCGCACCCGAGAGCACCGCTGCCGGTAAGCTTCGATTTTCCGTAAATTTTCGGCCCCCCGAGGGCCGTAGTGTTGTTTTATCGCAGGAACTAATGCGAGTGTGGCCGAATTCGGCCGAAAACGGCCGAAAACGGCCAACCCGAGGCAAACCGCCGCCGTAAGCGGTGGCGCCGTCGCCGGAGCACGGCGGAGCCGCCGTGCCGGAGTTGCGATATTGGCCGAAAGGGGCCCTGGGCCTAATTTAGGATTTTTTGGAACACGTGCAGGTACCAGTAGTGCGTTTCAGTTCCCCGGAAAAAATTCAAGGAAAATTAAGGACAGCCTGCAAGCGCACTGTGAAGTCGTGTTCGGACCCCGAAATGAGTAAGGACCCCTCACCCTATTTTCTATCACGGTCTTAAAGTTCAATAAATGATAAAACAGTATTTCATGAATCAACGAATGTGTGAAATTGCTTAAGGTAGCTAATGGAGCCCGAGTCTAGTGTGTTTGTCGGTTAACTGTTATTTGGCCTGTTTATAGTTTTAAATGCAGTATGAGATTTAATGTTTTCATTTTATAGTTTCGTGTGCATATTTTACTGTTTTATTGATTATGGATTGAATGACTGAGATATTGATGCTGTATGTTGTCTGTTTGGCATAAATTACCGTTTTGCTTGTTTGTATGTGGATTAATGATGCTGACTGAGAAAAAAGAGAATGAAAAATTATGTAAATGGGTAATGGTATAATGTGGTCAGCCTGACTAGATATCCTGGGAGATGGTGGACGGACCGGGTCCGTAGAAACCCTACCGGGATTGTGGTCTCCCATATCGGACGGGGTATGAAGATCTTATGTGTTTTGGCGCCCATACCGGACGGGGTATGGGGACGGCCCGTTTCACCCTCATGTCGGACGGGGTAATGAGGTCTATGTTTTGGCGCCCATACCGGACGGGGTATAGGGACGGCCCTGGAATATGATTTCATGTGTTAAGGTTAACGGGTAGTGGACCCCTATGGATCCCCATGGATACTATGGCTGGTAATGAGGAAAATATGTTGTGTACGA